CAGCCAAGCCTGCTATCAGCCGTGCTGTTCCTTAGTACCAACGCCAAGGGGCTTCCTTAGTCCTGCCTGTGCGACTAAGGTAGGTCTATGACCTGAGTAATGGAAAGGGAGTCCCTTATGCTCGGGCTACCCTACTCCCATCGTTACGGGATGGCCGCGGTAAACTGGTACCATGGGCCTGCCATCAGCTCCTACCAGTAAGTCTTGGGGCCTGCTATGAGTGCCAAGTTAAATAAATTTTGGGGCCTGTTATCAGCCCTGGGCTAGTAATGCCTTGGGGCCTGCTATCAGCGCCAGGCATTACCCTTTACTTGTAAAGGGGAAGCTTTTCCCAGAAGCTGCTATCACCTTGGCGGGATGTTCCCTCCGCAAGTTGGTTGCAGCGGTAGTAGGTGCTGCAGTAGTCATTTCCCGTGGCAAGTTCAAATGGCATAACTGACAATATTGGAGATGGCAGCGCCGATAAAGTGCCTATGCAACTTGAGCGCCCCTGCCACTGGGTTGTTTCGGTTCTCTCCTTCCCTCAGCAACTCCATGTGGCAACAGAACCGAGAATACTAGGAATGGCGGCGCTAAGACAAAGTGCCTCCGCAACTTGGTCGTCACAACTGTCGCCTCTGCAACTTAGTTGCTGTCGCCTCTGCAATTCCCTCGTCAACTTTGGATGGCGGCGGAGCCAAAGATATTAGGAATGGTGGTACTGAGGCAAAGTACCTCAGCAACTTCCCCGCTGCATGTATTCCCTCTACAACTCATGTGTTCCCGCTGCAACTTGACTTGGTCATTTTCCTTCATGGAGTCTGTATGGACCCATGGCGGGTCGGACCTACTCCGGCCCACTGTTGGCCCACTTCCCTTAGACTTTAGCCCATGCTCCTTTCTCATTCCTGGTCGCCTCTTTGGGGCAACCTCAGTACTTAGGCCTATACTTCATTAGGGGTTTAATTTCTGACCCTCTACATTTGCCCCTGCCCCCGTGGGGGACACGTTCCTGGTTTCCCGCGTGTGCATGACGCCAGCAAGTAACCCAAGGGTTGCGTCGGCTCTTAAAAGGATTACCCTCTTGACTGACAGCTCATAATGGGCCTAGGGAAGTGTGTCGACGCCCTTTTGCTACTTTCTTCATAAATAGCGCCCTTGGGTCCATTGGTCCCCCACTTCCGCCCAAACACACTTTCTGCCTCCTTGTCTTCTTTTCCTTGCCCCCACTTTCCAGAGTCTTCTTTATTTTTCTTTATACTTCCTTATGGCCCGCACAAGGTTTCTACCCGACAGGGCTGACCCACCCCCTACTAAGTGGAGGGCCTCATACTTCGGAGGGCTAGCTGACCCTTTCTGGAAGGCCGTTGACTCCTTCGTTCCTGATGCCCTTCCTTTGGGGGAGCCTCTGCTTCCTTTTAGTGAGGCTGCTTTGGATGAGGCTGACATGGTGAACCCAGTTTCTGTGCTGAGGTTTCGCGTGGAGCGTGGTGACTTTTCCCATTCATACATCTACTATCGCACTCACTCAGGCCCTTCAACAGGCTGGTCCCTCTGGGTTGATGACATCATTGCAGATGGTGGGTTCGAGCAGCAATTACGAGATGTTCGTCTCTACAATGCCATTTCGATTTTGAGGGTGTTATCAGTGCGCAAAGTACAGACCAACACTGATATGGTTGTCTCTCGCTGGAGCCGTGACGCTCACACTTTTTCTTTGGCATGGGGGGAGATAACTCCAACCCTCGAAGATGTTGTTGTCTGTTAGAATTTACCTACACCTACCACCACCTACTACCACACCTACTACACCTACCACCAATTTACCCTCACCTACTCCTCACCTACTACCCAAACCCTCTCCTATATAATGAGCTACTCTACTTTGTAATATAACAAATCAAGACATCAATCAATAATACATAAATTCTTACATGGTATCAGAGCAAGGTTAAGAATTTAGTATTTTTTCGCTTCCCCGGCGGGCGGCAACCTCGCCTTGGCCGGAGAGTCGCAACTCCGCAGTTGGGCCGGGCTACCGCAGCGACTTGTACTTGGCCGCCTTCGTCAGTTACATCATTTTTTTTTTTTCTCCCCAGCAACCCTACTGAGAGTATTAACCCTTTCGTGTTCCCTTTGGTTATCAAACTTTACAGCGGCAACCAGATCCCTCTGGCCCCCTCTTCTTGGGAAACTTATACTTCCGCCTTGATCTCATCCATTCGGACATAGAGCGATCCATGGGCCTGCTATGATGTGTAGAGCTTTGTACACACTCAGTTCCTGACCACTTTCTTCTATGAGAGATTCCCTGCCACGGGCCCCGTCCCTAAAGAACATGAGCCTTTCTTCACAGACGAAGTTCTTGATGCAGAGGGTCGTCCTGTTCTAGATGCAAAGGGTCGACCTGTCAAGAGGCAAGTGCGCCACTCCCTTCCTCCCTCGCATCTCTCGGTGGTCTGGTCATGGCACGAACAGACCTTTTGCAGATTATGAAGACCGCATGGAGGAATGTGTGTTCCGCCCTTTCACTCAGCTTCTTTCAAGCATTCATGTGGTTCCATTCTATTTTTCCGAGGCTCGCCATGTTGATTTCTCCCTCAACAGTGTCCAGGCCAACTCCCTTCTTATTGCTGCTACGATACGCCCCGAATTTCTACCCTTGTGGAACGAGGAGGGCATGTCCAGCGTCATTTATCGACCGGACAGGGTCCCTGAGCAGTTCGGCATGGATCAGGGCGTCCCACATACCCCTCCGTTTCAGACTGATTACCACCAGAGCTTTCAGCGGTTTGCCCATGATTATACCGCTCTACTTGAGGGCTTAGGCTTCATGGAGCTACTCTCACTTGGAAGAGGGGGCGCCTTTACTCCCAGTAAAAGGTTGTTCTGGCACCGCAAACTCAATTCTTTCTTCAACTTTTGCAACAGTGCTCCCGTAGTCCCTGCGATGGAACCCATCCCGCAGCCTGACTTATCTCTTCGTCTGCCCTCTGGCCGAGGGAAACAGACCACATCCCGCAGCCTAACTTATCTCTTCGTCTGCCCTCTGGCCGAGGGAAACAAACCAGTATATTTTATCGCTTCAAGCTTCTATCCCTCCATACCGTGGAGAAGCCTCACCCGTAAGGGCAAATTGCCCCCCCTCAAGTCGGCACGACAGTTACGGACGACCTGCTCCAGATTAAGGGCAGCCCAAGAGCCAGCGGCATCAGTTGCCGATGCACGTGCCTCACCAAGTAGGAAGAGACTCCGAAACGTACCCATACTTAGAAAATATTTTGCATTGCTTCCTTGGACTTCTTACGTTTACTTTGGTAATCACATAACCTTTTTTCTTTTCAGGGCCCACCGGCCATGCCACCGACCCCGGAGGTTCTTCTACTGCCATCGGACTTTCCTCAGATTCAGAGGACGACAATGACGACGACCTTCCCATTGCTACAAGCGTCACAAGGTTCAGGACCCGCAGGGCAGTACTTCCAGATGTTGAAGAAAAACCAAGTTCTAGGGGACCGCACCTACTACTGAGGCTGAGCCAGTTGTGGAGGCTGCAGAAAATGAAGTTCCCCCTGCTGTGGAAGTTGTTGCGGGCGGCCCAGTTGTTGAGGGTGCAGAGCCTCCAAACCCGCTAATTCTGTGCACTCCGACCGTTCCTCTGTCGGCAGAGATGATTTTTTCCCCGAGACCCCAAGGGAAGATACCAGCATGAGAGAGCCACTGGAAGTTGCACCACCTCCCTTTGGAGCTGCATCTAGTGGTTGCTCCCAGTCCACTGAGTCTCCATTGGTTCAACAGACCCCACTTTCGAACGCCCAAGTGGCGAAGGAGAGTGCAAGTGTAGCGGCTACTTCCACTGTTCCTGCTGTGACCCCTCTAAATTTGGACCGACTTGCAGAGGTAACTGTCACTTTAGCCACCCACACTGTTACTGTTGTCGCTAGGACCTCTAACCCAGTTGCTTCGGCAACCTCTCAACAGCTGGCAGACTTGTACCCTACTCACTTTCCGGAAGTGCCAACTGACCTTGGGGTATCCCAAGATTTTTATACTAGGATGGATACAACTACTATTCCAGATTTGAACGTTGGAGACTACCAGATGGATAACCTCTTTTCGGAGCGACATGACGGTGCAGGCAGCTTTAGTCTTTCTCGCGAGGCTAGTTCACCCGATCGCCAACGCTGCATCTACCTATTCCAATGCTGCTGGGCAATCAATTTCAAGGGAAGTGTGTTGTCCTCAAACCCTTGGTCGCTCCACTATTCTCCCTCCAGTGATTGAAGTTGGCGGGGGTGTGAGGAAGTCCCCTCAGCCCTCAGAGAAAATTTCTTTTCTAAGTTACTGGGTCTCCTCCGCAGCTGCTCCCACTATAGCCCCGCATCCAGGCGCTGCACCCCGGCACCTTTCCTTTCTTTAAACGTTCCTGGATCTATGGTGCAGACATCACTTCTGGAGTCACTCGCCAGCTTCATTTGCGACCTTGCTACTAAGAAGATTCTGACCACCCCTAGCAAGTTCGTGGAAGGTGCCGAGGCAAACCAGAGCGGCTTTTAGAGGAACGGTTTGGACCTATCGTCGATAAGGAATAGGCTTCAGGCAGTCGATGGTTTCCTCGAGCATGCAGACAACGTGGCGATGATAGGGCCGGTTTTGAACTCATAATCTACTCTTGTCAACTTGTAGTACCCGCTGTTGCTTGCCTTAGCAACTTTGTAAGGGCTTTTCCATCTTGGTGAGAACTTGGGAATTGGTTGCCCCCACATGATTGCGTCCACTGTCTTCCGTACCAAGTCCCCTTTATTGAACTTCTTGTGCTGAACAGATTGATTGTAGGCACAAGCTACGGATTGATGATACTTTTCCATTGCCCTCGAGGCCCGATCTCTTCTTTTGAATGTCATTCTTTCTGCTATCTGGAACTAAGTGTGCTGACATAGCCATTCTTGCGGAGGGTACAGCCAACTCAACTAGTAACACAGCCTCGGACCCGTACACTAGGGAAAATGGGGTTGCCTGAGTTAGCTTTCTCTTTGACGTTCTATACGCCCAGAGATTACGGGGAGTCGTTCAGACCAAGTGCCCCCTGCCTCATCCATCATTTTACTCAATATTCGGATGATGGTTTTGTTGGTCGCCTCAGCTTGTCCACTCCCTTGGGGGTAGTATGGACTTGATTTGTGCTGCTTGATCTGGTAGGCGTTCAAAAGTCTTCCCACATGACGATTTACAAAGGGAGTTCCATTGTCGGACAGCATTACTTTTGGTATGCCAAACCTACAGATTATGCTTTCTCTGATGAAGTTGGCTACTCTTGCCCCATCTGCCTTCCTTATCGGTATAGCCTCCACCCACTTGGTACTAACTTCAGTCGCTGCAATCTGTGGCCTTTCGATTGTTGCGCTGTCAAATGCCCAAGTATGGAACAGGTAATGGGTCTTAATGTTGTGCAGCTCAACCGCCGGTGTATGTATCAAGTTCCCAAACTTCTGGCAGGATTGGCATCTCATTACAAAGTTTTTAGCATCTTTTTCCATTGTCGGCCAGTAGTAGCCGAGGTGAATGAGATGTCCATATAATCCTTGATGTTCTTGATGTTGTGGGCTTCGCTCGGCACCTCATTTGCCTCATCCTTTGGTCAAGGAAGAAGCGGAGGGCCCGCCTCTTAACTCTGATTGCATCGGCTTTGTTCTCAAGCAGTGTGCCATTTCCAAGGTAGTCGACATATGGCTGCCTCCATTCTTCACTGCTTAAGAAATGGGCTTCCTCGCTTCCTCTTCCTTAGGATGGAACTGACACTTTGCACATTGCTTCTGCAACTCAGTACTTTCCTTTTCCATCTCTGGCCAGTAATACCCTTGCCTCTGTATCCGTCGGTATAGACTGATATCTCCACGAGACTTAGCATGGATCTGCTTAAGTCTGTTAAGTTTGCTTCTTGTCTACGACGCCCTTGCTAGCAAGTTGTTGGCACCTACGAAAATACAACTCTCCTCTGAGGAGCAGAAATTATGCAAGTTCTGCTGGTCTGATTGTTCCCTGGCCTGTTTTCAACTGTTCTGTTGGATTATATATGCTTTCATCCCTCAGCATCTTGCTCTGTATGTTCTTCGGCTAACACTGCTGGTGTTCTTCTTTTCTCGATGACGATGGCTATACTATCATCTGGTATATCCACCTTTGCCCCTAGTGTAGCCAAGGCATCGGGGAAACGGTTATGTGTTCAAGGGGTATGCTAGATTTGGACATCATCAAATTGAGAGAGCAACCCTTGAACCACGGTGCGATACGGGCCCAACGGAGGCTCCTTTAAGGCGAAATCACCCATTGTTTGCCTAGAAACTAACTCGGAGTCGCCTAAAATTTTCAACTTGCGGAGTCCCTTCTTTTGGGGAGCGATTAGACCCAATATCAACGCCTCATATTCAGCCTCGCTGCTCGAACATTCAAAATCAAGCTTATATGATAGATGAAACTTCTCTCCTTCTTCACTGGTTAGTGTTATGCCAGCTCCGCCTTTCCCAGCTCCCGAAGCTCCATCAAATTTTAAGTCCCAATAAGCCTTAACTGCAGCTGCTGAGACATGGACCGCACCTGATAGAGATACCTCTGCAGGTTCATGTTCACCAGATGGGAATTGGGCCAGTAACTCTGCAAGTGCTTAGCTCTTAATAGCCTTGGGAGTAACACAAGTGATGTCATATTCTGCTAGAGCCAAAAGCCATCTTGCCATTCTTCCAGTCAGAGCGGGTTTGCTTAGCAAGTAGCAGACCGAATCACTCCGGGGTCACATGGACCGGGTGTTCCAAAAAATAGTGGTACAACTTCCGTGCTGTGAAGATTAAGGCTAAACGATGCCTCTCAATTGGGTATATCGCCACTCGACACCATTGACTTTGCGACTGATGTAATAGACTAGCTTCTCAATGCCATCTATGTCTTGGACAAGTAGAGCCGCAATAGACCGAGGTGTAGACGTTAGGTACAGTAGCAGAGGCTTGTTGGGTTGTAGGGCAATCATTGTACGTGCTTTCATCACCATATCAAATGTCTGCTGGTGTTCTTGCAACCATTCAAACTTGTGATTCCCTTTCAGCAGTGTCCCAAAGGAAAAAGTTATCTCAACAAGGGCCGAAATGAACCTCTTGAGGTATGACACTTTGCCTAGGAATTTCTTCAAAGCCTTTTGAGAGTGTGGTGGTGGCATCTCCATGATTGATTTAATCTTATTCCCATCTACTACAGTCCCCCGCCGGTGTACAAAAAAGCCAGGAACTTGCAGGCGGTAACTCCGAAGGCACACTTGAGAGGGCATTAGGCAGAATTTGCGGCACCGTTGAAAAACTTTTTCCAAGTCGCAGAGGTGTCGGTTTGCCTTGATAGACTTGACCACCAGATCATCCACATATACTTCCACTTCATGATGCAACATATCATGGAACACTGCAGTCATAGCCCGTTGGTAGGCTGCCCTCGCATTTTTCAAAACAAAGGGCATCACCGTATAGAAAAAATTTCCCAAGGGTGTTCTAAATGCCGTTTTTTCTGCATCTTCTGATGCCATTTTGATCTAGTTATAACCACTGAACCCATCCATAAAAGAGAACATCTTATGGCCCGCAGTAGAATCGATAAGTGTGTCGACATGGGGCAATGGAAACTCATCTTTCGGACAGGCCTCATTCATTTAGGTCGGGAAAGTCTACGCAGACCCTGATTTGGCCGTTCTTCTCCACAGGCACAATATTTGCTAGCCAAGTTGGGTATTGTATAGGTTCAATGAACTTGGCCATCGACAACTTTTCTACCTCTTCCTTAATCTTTGCCTCAAGGTCAGGGTGATACTTTCAAGCATGTTGCTTTATTGGCTTAGAGTTGGGAAAAGTATCCAGGTGATGGGTGACAAGTGACGGGTCAAGACCAGGCATCACATCGTATGTCCAAGCAAAGACGTCATTGTGTACCGCTTCAGTAGTGTTATCAATTCTGCCTTAGCTGTTGGAGCCATTGTGTCGCTGATGAACACGGGGCTTGCTCTGCCCTGATAAGTCGCTGAGGTTGACCTCAGCAAGCACCTCTTGCTGCGGTTTTGGTCTATCTTGCACGCATTCAGGGGCGGGCTCAGACGTCTCCACCAACTCTTCTTGGGACTCGTCATTGTCACATTTATTTGTCTCGGGACCATCCTCCCAAGGTATGAAGCCTAACCTCCAAGACCTATCATAGGTAGTAAATTGTCTTACCGCCCTTCCACACCTTAACAATCTTGGGCGGAGGACTTGTGGACTTGCTGCTCCTCTTCTGCCCACTACTTTCTGGAGCAGCCCCTGCACTTCCAATTTTGGCAATTTTACTCCAACTTTACCGGTCCTGGGAATTTCACCCGTTGACAACTCAGTAAAGAAAACTGCATCCGAATAGTGTACCTCCTCAACCCCAAATGGCTGTTCAGACGCATTTATATGGTTACTGTGCGCTTTCCCAACTTTGCCTTCACGCATTAGTGATAACTCAACAGGATAGCTTCATATCGGTGCATCCAAGCTTTGCCAAGTATCATGTGGCAATTTATGTCCGCTTCAGTCACATGAAACTTGGTTGCAGAACGGATCTCACCAAATATTAAGTCCACGACCACATGGCCCTTGGTATCTTTTTTCTCGCCGCCAAAACCCATCACAGTGATGGGTTGGCGAACCATCCTAGACTCTGGGATCCCAGCCTTTGCAAAGGTGTCAGTAGTGATGATGTTTATGACGCCCCCGCCAACAAGGAAAGCACGCTTGAACTTTACATCATTGATGTATGATGTGACAAAAGGAGGATGATTATGGGGAAATGGGTATGCTCTGTCTGCCTCTGAAAAAGTAATGGCCCCATAAGCTTCCTGGATGCGCCCAGGCACATACTCCTTAGCCTCAGCAACTTCATCTTGGTGCACTTCAAAGATATTAATGAGGGCCTTTGTTGCTTCCAACCTAGCGGCTTGGCTTAACCCCAACACGTCAAAGAAGGCGCGAAACTTAGCAGAGTGTTGCAAGGCCTGGGCATTAGCATCCTCTGCGAATTTTGCCTCTGCAGGTACTGTCTCAGGGAGCTGGCCGGTTGCAATTTCTTCTAACTCATCATAGTAAGACGCCATATGCACTTGATCACACACAGGCCCGAGATAGCCAATCATATATGTACATTCTTCCCCTTTTCCTTGTGGTTAGGGTAAGGGTCCTTCCGCACATCACGGTTACCGGCATCTTTGAACTTCAGCTCATTTGCGACAACTTTCTTCTCAAAGATACTTTTCAAAGTCCAACAGTCCCCAGTAGGGTGTCTGGTGTTTCTGTGATAAGACACAATAATCCGAGCTTTCTTTGTCCTTCTTAGTTGGAGGGACATTAACTGGAGGCAAGGTAAGTTCATCATCAGTTACCCATTCTTTAACCAGAGCTTTAACATTCTCAACGCTGCAAGGACATGGATTTCTATCCTCATAACTCGTTCTTTTCCGAGAGGATGTCGCCTCCCCTTGCGAGTGGCTCCCTCTTGCAGAGGTTACCGCAGCAACTCTGCTACTGCGAGGGTAACGGTGGCTGTCACGAGATCTGTGCAAGGGACCAGTGGTACTGAGGTTCCTAGCTGCCTCAATCAAGGCTGAAATGGTAGGCAGATTATGATTCACCAAGAAAATTTTGTAGTCGCGTATGGCACCCACCATACATAGGCTGACTAAATGGGCCTCAGCCACTGGTTCATGACAGTCAATAGCCTTATCTTGGAACCGCTTAACATAGTCCAGTATATCTTCGCCCTCCTTTTGGACATCTCGCCCAAGGGTGAGGGTTGTAACTTTATCATGGACTTGGAAGAACTTTGTGTGGAACTTGTTCACCATCTCCGCCCAAATCTTGATCGAGTTGGGAGCCAAGTTCACATACCAACTGCAAGCCCTTTCAGTAAGTGGACTTGGAGAACTCCCGAAAGCGCAGAGAGTGGTCACTGCCATGGACACCAAGAGTTTCAATGAACCTCACCACCTGTTCTCTGACATTGCCTTGTTCTCCTTAGCCTCAGCAACTTCATCTTGGTGCACTTCAAAGATATTAATGAGGGCCTTTGTTGCTTCCAACCTAGCGGCTTGGCTCAACCCCAACACGTCAAACAAGGCGCGAAACTTAACAGAGTGTTGCAAGGCCTGGGCATTAGCATCCTCTGCGAATTTTGCCTCTGCAGGTACTGTCTCAGGGAGCTGGCCGGTTGCAATTTCTTCTAACTCATCATATGCACTTGATCACACACAGGCCCGAGATAGCCAATCATATATGTACATTCTTCCCCTTTTCCTTGTGGTTAGGGTAAGGGTCCTTCCGCACATCACGGTTACCGGCATCTTTGAACTTCAGCTCATTTGCGACAACTTTCTTCTCAAAGATACTTTTCAAAGTCCAACAGTCCCCAGTAGGGTGTCTGGTGTTTCTGTGATAAGACACAATAATCCGGGCTTTCTTTGTCCTTCTTAGTTGGAGGGACATTAACTGGAGGC